CAAAAGGTAGAAACAACACAAATGTTCATCAACAGAGGAATGAATAAAATGTGGTATATTAGTTTTAAAATTATATAGTTTTAAATATATATTAGTTTTAAAAACAAGTGACATTCTGACACATACTACAACATGGGTGAACCTTGAAGATATTATGTTAAGTGAAATAAGCCAAGCACAGAAGGATAAATATTATAGAGTTCCACTTCTGTGAATAGAGTAGTTAAATTCAGAAAGACAGAAAGTAGAATGGTGGTTCTAGCAGGGGCTTGGGGTAGGGGTTAATAGGGAGTTATTGTTTAATGGGTTTCCATTGGGAAGATGAAAAAGTTCTGGAGATGGATGGTAGTGATGGTTGTATAACAATGGGAGTGTACCTAATGCCACTGAACTTCACACTTAAAAATGATTCAAATGGTAAAATTTATGTCATATATATTTTATCACATTAAAAGAAAAATCTTTGGCTAAATCAGAGAACTCTGGAACTATAGGAAATGGAAATCTTTGTTTTCTAGCAATTTTATAATAAATTCTGTAAGACAGACCATCTATTCCTTATGGTGCTGTTTTGAATTCTCTTCCTATTAATCTAAATCAAGAGCTTCTAATATAGACTGTAGCATCATGTGGAGGACACATACTAGAATTGTTGAATTACAAAGGAAAATGAGATACGAGAAGACTATAGTTTTTTAAAAAAAAGAGCTCTATAGCAGGGAGACTACTGGTATATTGGGAAAAGACAATGGAATTTGAAAATTTAGATAAGGTATTTGCCATCTCTAAACATCAATTTACTCATCTGTAAAATGGGTGTAATTTTCACTATTGAGTATTAAAATAACACGTAGGTTCATAGGACATAGTAGAAGTCAACAAGTATTCGTTTTTTTCTTTCCATTATATTTTAAAAAGTAGTTATTATACTAGACAGGGAAGGGAAGTTATCTCAATTCTTTGCAACTTCTGCTACTCATCTAATAATCACTGCCTAAACGGTCTTTAAATGACATTTTATATTTCTTCATTTCAAGAAATTCCCAAAACTTTGATTAAAATTATACCTACATATACTTCTATTTACCTAATCACCTCTTCCTAGATACTCCTGCACAGCTGAACTGCTTTTTTCCCCTTTTATTTCATCATATTATGGGGTTACAAATATTGTTAGGGTTACATATATTGCCCCTGCCACCCCTCCCTACCCCCCCCCCACTTGCCAAAGCTTCAAGCGTGTCCACTTTTATAAACTCCTTCTTTGTGTGCCACTTGCCAGGTTAGGGGCTGGGCAGACACTCTGTGCCTCAGTCTCCATGTTTATAAAATGAAATAATAATTATACCAGTCCCACTGATTTATCATGAAGGTTAAAGGAAATAACTCATGGCAAGTGTTTATATCAGTATCTGGCATGTAGTAAATACTCTGTGAGTATCAGCTATAAGCCATACTATTATCACTATTACTACAACTACTATATTGCAGTCCTTCAGTAATAAGTTTTCTAAAACCTTCTTTGGTGTTTGGCAAGTAGGTTATTGTGCTCTACTGCTCTAGCGTAGGAGTAATACTTTTTTATACGTTACCTCTGTGACACTTAGCTTGTAGCCACTCTTGCAGAACATTAATTCATTTTGCTTTATGTAGTGGCTCTGTATGTTCTTTCTCCCTTCAACTGCTTACCCCTGAGGATAAGGATGAGACTTTACCTTCTTTCTATCCCTCCTGGTGCCTGCTGCATTGCTCAGTACATAGTAAGGCTCCAAACCTGCTTGTTGAATGCATAATTAAGTGAATGCTGTAATACTGTGTGCAAGTAACCAAATTGTTGGAAAGGCAGTACAGAGGGATGGACCAGGCTAGTAACTGGAGATCTTAGTGTGATCCCATGGGACCTTTCTCAAAGTAAGTGACCAAGATAAGAAAAAGGAAAGCAGATAGTGAAAGAAATCTAAAATGTCTTTTAGTAAACATTGCACAATTTTGTTTAATGCCCTAACGATGTGTTGGGGCACGGAATCACATATCCACACTGAAGAGTCAGGAGGAAAGGTCCCTCAGAATTAGTCTAATTCCTGGTGCTTCTTTGTAGCAAATAGGTTTGTCCAGCACAGCGTACACATGTGGCCCATGGGGCACTGATTTTCTTGAAGGGAAGTTGGTGCAATAGTGACAACAACAGCAAAACCCAGACAGATTACTAGGGAATAAATTCCTGTTTGCCCCTCTGAGGGGACTTTCGTCAATATAGTCAGTTACTTTCCTTATTTTCTCATCTATCCATCAAAGCCAGTACTAGCACCGATGCCCCCTCCCCTGCCGCCCACTTTGCCCTGCCCACAGAGTCTCCTCTAATTCTCAGAGGAGAACTCTGGAGGAACTTGGGAGAACCTTAGGAAGGCCTTCAGCCAAGCACCTCCCACTGCTCCATGCTTGCCTTAGTATTTTTCTTCCTTCCCTTTGAAGGAGAATTGCAGAATAGCCATTCATATAAATCCAATACAAATAAAGTGAATGTATTTTTAGAATATCCTCCCATCCCCTTACTGAACCTCTCCCAGGAATAATGTGTATGTGTTCTCTTTCTCGCTATATTCACATAAATACATTCTTCTGAACCAATCCAGTAAAGTGTTTGTACCATGTTATTAAATCTCCGGAATGTATTTGGTTTAAGGTCTGCTTACTGGCTATAAAGAGCATGGGAAACCCGATGGTGGGGAGTGTAGATTGCCATGGGACCGCAGGCTAACTGGAGGCATTATGTGAAACTATGCGGTGGGAACATAATTGCCTCAATCCCACCCTTTCTACACCATATACTTTGACCTTCCTGGAATGACTAATATCTTCTTTCTGTTTCCCAAAACCAAAGGCTTCAACTGGTATTCTGAAACTATTAATCTCTGACAGTATCACAAATTTAACTCACTATACATTTTTTTTCTGGTTGGAAAGATATACACAAATAGAGAGATAATATTAAATAAAATAATATCATAAAAATAAAGTTCTGAGAAATATTTCCAAATAAAGATTTCTTTTAATCTAATCATCTACATATTTTAATAATAATATCAACTCTTAGCATATATAAAGTATTTATACTATGTCAGGCACTATGCTAAACACTATTGTAATTTCATCACAATAACTGTAAGAGGTATGAAAAACATCAATAACTTTTCTAACCCCAAGTTTCTTTATCTGTAGTTTGGGTGTCTGTAATGTGCTCAAGGTCAGAAGCTTGAAATTTAAACTTGGGATCATCAGACTAAAAGCCTGCAATCTAAAACATTTTGCTGTGCCACTTTCCTATTATTTCACTGAGTATATGAGTATATAAGAAATTGCTCAGGGTCTCAAGATTAATTTTAAGGTTCTCTAAAGCACAAATAATTATTTTTTAAATATTTTTTTGGATGAGAGTTACAAAAAACCAGTTGTATGTGCTTGTCTCTTTAGATTTAACAGATAAAAATACAGGATGCCCAGATCAATCTGAATTTCAAATGAAGGAAGAAGAATTTTTATTTATACATAGGATGTATAAATGTATCCTATGCAATATGATATGGGACATGATAAAAATTTATTCATTATTTATCTGAAATTCAAATTTAATTGAGTATCCTGCATTTTATCTGTCAATCTTACTGTTAAGTCAGGCATTTCATTCAGGGACTTTCCATGCTCAAAGCAACAGGTGAAGATAATGCTTCCCTGGGGTTAATTCCAAGCCTGTAGACGAGCGATGCCATCCCAATGCACAGTGTCTCTCCTGGCCTGGCTTCTCCCCCAGCCTCTGAGTATGAGGTTGACCAGAAGCCATGCTCCCTCTTTCTCATGGAGGCTACACTTTACACCATAATGAGGGCTTGGTATTCTCTGGCTCTCCCCTTCCTCCCCCTTTATTTTTGGGTGTGGGTAGGCCTCACTCTGAAGAAGGGCTATCTTCACCCACCTTATTTTTAATTATCAATAATTAATAACTGCAGTGGTACTAAAAATTAATAGAATTAATAGCAATAATACAGACTTCAATGTGTTAGAAACGGTGTCAATCCACAGAATTGTTTTAGTTGTTATGGTTGCTGTACCCATAGCTATAGGGTGTGTGTGTGTGTTTGTGTGTGTGTGTGTGTGTGTGTGGTTAGGTCAATTGCTCTTTCCTTCCTCATTAACTTAGGTGACTTCAGTTTCCTCCTACTTAGTATCTGTCATGCACTGGACATGCTGTTGTCTGTCTCCGCTCTGGTGACTCTTAAATCATTTATACTGGATTCATCGTCCACCAAATTTCTACATTTTGGTTATGATTTCAATTTGAAACCTATTGTAAGGCATTCAAACAGTAGCTCTTTGAATATTAATAAACATATTATCAATAGCATATCCTGATCATCTTTACTTTGGGGACAGGGCTTGCTTTTAATAGGAACTTCTTGCTTCTGGAATATAATGGCTCGTTTCTATTTAGGGTATCTGCTCTGCAGTTTCCTAACAGCTTCTCTCAGGTCCAGTCACCCTCATTCACTTCCTCACCTTCCTGTGCTGCAGAAGACCTTTGGTTTAACCTGAGACAAAAGGTTAGGTCCTGCAATTTTGTTGCCACTGTCCTAAAGGCACAGAGGAGCAGGAAGCCAGTGACAGGGCACACACATTAAGTGTTGGGGTTTGACAGAATGATTACCGGGACACACAAGTGGCAGAAAGTCACTGAAGCGCTGCTGCAGTCCCAGGTGCGAGTCTAGCAGACCCACGCAGAGCACTGACCCATTCGCTTCTGCCAGTTTGAACAGACATGCTCGAAGCCTCAACTTCCAACTCTCAACATCCCAATCCAACTTCCAAAGCAAGAAACTTTATTTCGAGTTTCTGAACTGATCTAGGCCAGGTGAAACTCTCCAGGCGGCGGGGAGGGAAAGAGGCGGGAGAGGGAAGAGCGGGGCACGCCGGGGCGCAGGTGCCCGCAGGGCGGCGGGGGACTGTACCTGGGCAGCGGGCGGCAGGCGTCCCGGGGCCACGCGGGGCTGGGGCTCGCTCGTCTCAGGCGGGTCCTGCCTGCCAACCGCTGAGCTCCCTTCGATGTCAAAAGGAAAAGCGTTGTCGTCCCCGGACGCCGCGCGGGCGCAGGCAGCGCCCCAGAGGAGCCACAGGGGCAGGACGCGGCGCCAGGCTGAGCTCAAAGCCATGTCTCCGCGGACGCCCAACGCGCCTTCCGGCTCGGAACCGTCGGTCTCCGGGGGTCCCCCCGCGGCGCGGCGGAGCCTCCTTATTTTACCTTCTCGCTGCCTGCAGTATCCAGATGTGGCAGCCCAACCAGCAACTTAGGAAAAACAAAAAAAGGAGAGTGAGAGAGTGGGAGAGAGTCCCAGTCTCTCCCTCTTTCCTTCTTGCTCTCCCTCCCCTCCCCTCCCTCTCCCTCTCTCACTTGGTCTGTCTGCCCCCAGAGGCCCTGGCCCAAGAACCTACGGACACATGGAGCTTAAAGCCGAGCATCAAAAGGCAGGCGGGTTGCAGGGAGCCCCGCGGCCGCCGGCCACCTCCGCTCCGCTCCCCTCCCTCCCCGCGCTCCGGACTGAGGACCGCACTGTCCTGGCGTTTCCCCCACACTCATGCTCACCACTCCCTTTTTACCTTCCACGTCCAGGCCCTCCCCCTCCAAGCTGGCTTTTCAGACACTGAGGTCGGGCCTTTCCTCGCGGCCTCTCCTCCCCTCTCGGTTTGGAGTCCCTCCAAGGGCTCCAGATGAATATTCAGCTTTTGTGATTGCTTCCTCACAGCTCTTGTTTATTTAGCCAAGGGTGCCGGATGTCTTATCTATATTTATATAGATCTTTTCTGTGGCCCCAAGAGTTTGCCGGAAAGTGGGTGGAAAAGGGATTCCAGGGCAAGAGCCAAAGGTAGAGATATCAAAAGGCAGAGGGGCAGGGTCCCACTTGCTCCAGCAAGGTTTCACATTTTCTAGAGGTGGACCATTGCGCTCTTTGTGCAGATACCTTTTCTTGAGATTTGCAGGCCACCCCTCTTCCTCCAGATAGTTCTCACCCAGAGGGCTTGGGAGAAGAATATCTTTCACTGCAGCACTGGAAAATGACTTCATTACTCAAATGCATGAACTTTTATTTACAAAGAACATCTTGTTTTCATCCTAAAGAGGTGCTTTGTAAGGGACCCGAAACAAGGCTTGCAGTGTATGAGCCTGTCAAATATACTGCCCACAGCCCCGACCTCTTCCTCTTGGCGGGTAATCTCATGCCTACTACATCTGTCTGAGTTATGTAACCTTTCCAAGACTTCAGGGTGAAGTTGGGCTACAGTTATGCCAGGGGTGCTCCTGTGGATGGGACAGTGGCCACTGCAGCTGATAGGTACTTTTGTTTACACTGGCTTCATAACAGAGCTCTAAACATTCCCGCAAATCCCAAAAGTGGCTTAAAAATGATCAGATGACACAACCCTAAAATGACACCCAGGTAAATTTCTAGGTATTTGAAATCATAGATAATCATGCAATGAAACATTTGCATAAAAGCCAATCCTTAGCCCTATTTCATAGAACAAAAGCCATTTTATTTAAGGATAAGCAAAACACCATTTACTTCACACCTACCATGTGCCATGTACTTGGCATATATTATTTGCAAACCTCACAGCATTTCTGCAAAGTAGGACTATTATTTCCTTGGGGAAGAAGAAAGGGAGGTTCAGAGAGACTAGGACATTTGCTCAAGGTCACACAGCTGGTAGAAAGTCCAGCTGAAATTTGGATTTAGGCCTCACTGATTCTAAAGCTCTCTTTTACATCTGTACTACACTGAATCTCACAAAATAAAGATCATGAATTCAGAGGCAGGAGAGATGGGCACTCCCATATTTTAGGTGCCTCCTATGTGCAAAATTGGCATAAATTATCTAATTGAATTTCATCTTCACAATAATCAATTGAAGTAGTTATTGTTATGTGAATTTGGCAATGGGCAAGTGGTAAAAGTACTATAGCCCAGGTAAATCTGATGATGAGGACCTTGATTTTAAACAATAAAACAGTATGGATACAAAAGTGCCAAAGCTAGAAGAAACAAAAAGAATTCTTATAGATTCCTAAGTGTTTGTATTATTTTGATTTTAAGATATAAAAATAGTATTGTAAGGAACCATAAAGCTAAATTATGATCATCTTCTATCACATTAATTGGTTAATCTAGTAAATTAAGTGAAAGAACTTAAGAATATTTGTTTAGTTTGACTGATTCTTTCAGAATTGACTTTTTTTCTTCTCATCAATGTTATAACAAAATAAGGTTGAATGAAATGACATTATTTGTGGACCTGCTGTACTATGTTTTCTAGTCTTGAAGAACAGAATGACTATTTTTAAAGAGGAAAACTAACCATGTTTATTTATCCTGTGGCATCGGTAACTCCCATTTGCTAAGAACAGCCGCTCACATTTCTGGCTGCTATTGGGCCCTTTTTTGTATTAATATTAACCATGAGTCAGGCTGTTATGGATCGGAGAGTAATAGGGCAGGCAGGCAAGGAGAGAGCATGGCTGACTATTTTCAGCAAGTTAGAAGGCACTAGAACAGAGAGAATTACCTCCTCACCAAAGGGCTCAGAGCGCCAAAGGCCTGAGTGTAGGAAGATTTTATTCCTGCTCCAAGTACAACAGGAGCGCATTTCCAGGGTGGCTGCTTTCTTACCGTGACCTTCCCCGTCTCCCTCTCCTAGGACTGGGGCCAAGTGTTCACCAAGTACTTTCATGGCTGTGATCATTGTGGGGACACCTGCCTACCCTGCGACCAAAGGAGTGCTGCTCCGTCATCCCCAATGCGCAGACATTCAGAGAAGCTAAGAAATTAAATGGCTGGAACAAGGACACTAAGCCAGTCAGCCCAGAACGAGGGCCCCACACCCTCCAACTCCCAGACCAATGCTCTCCTAACTAGACCAACCTATTTTTAGTTCTGGCAGCAGCAGATCTGGTGGTTTTGAGGCTTTATCAAAAGAAGGTTCTGGAATTCCCTTATGAGTTCCTCTATGTGGTTATCAGCAGATAAATATCAAGGATCAGAGCTGTCTACTCCCTTCAGCACTGGGCTGCTGGGCCTGTCCTCAGCATCCAAGAATCTAGTGAGGGTGTTGTTAACACATCCCATGTGCCCTTCTGTAAATAGAAAGTCACGTCAGATGCTATTTTGGATTTGTAAGTGCTAATCCTGACATAACTAGACAGAGAATTGTTGTGGGGACTGTGTACTAGTGACAACAATTTTCTGATGAGATCAGTCAGAGAAGCAAGTATGGGCTGAGCTACCCCACAGGGTGGTCTCCGACTCATCCTCAGGTGGCGGGGACAGAAGGGGTAAGATGGGGCCTCTATCCTGCCAACCCTCTTCTCTCAGACTGACGTTCTCTTTTATGGATGACTCTGGTGGCAGTTCAGGCTCTGTGAGAAGCAGCAGCAGCAAGCGTGCTAAGTATGGAGGGAGGCCTTTACAAACTTGTTTTTCCTCCCATCAGTGGCCCTGGGCTTTTGTTCAGGATGTGGATAGTACGTTTCGTCTATGCTTCCTCTTCTTTCACAGCCTCATTTGACTTTTAGTATATGCTACCTGCATTCTTTGTCATTCATTCATTCATCCTTCCATCCATCCATCCATCCATCCATCCATCCATCCATCCATCCATCATCCATTTGTTCATTTATTTAATCAGCATTTGTTAGACACCTCAGTATGTCAGGTTTAAATGCTGAGGATAAAATGATAAAAACACGGCCCTAACTGTCAACGAGTTAAGCATCTGGTGGGAGAGGCATAAGTAGACCCTGTAAGGAATGCAGTGATTAACAGGAGCTCAAAGGGGAAGTACAGCTAGTCTGCCAATCAAATGTTGAGAACTGGCCTTTTACCTGGATGTGGCTAGGGGAGGTCAGGGGAGACGTGAGAAGGGGGCACCTGTGCTTAACTGATGGGAGGGAGGGGAAGAGCGGTTCCCCAGGAGAAGAGAGTTGCACATGCAGAGGGCAGACACGCCCCAAACCATGATGCCACAGGAGGGGTGAGAAAGCCACGTGGTTTCCAAACGCTCTCTGAGCCCGCTGTTCACAGGGTCGCGTCCCAGCCACGCGGCCTCCTGCTGCTCTCTGAGCTCTGCGCTCCAGTCCAGGCCCCGCGCCCAGCAGAGGATCCTCCCACAGTGCCAGTCTGAAAAACGGGGAGCTATTCATAGTAATAGTTAAGCCCTGAACAGAAGCGCGGGGACACTGATGGGAGGAAGAACAACTTTTAAAAGGCCTCCCTCCATCCCTAGCACGCTTGCTGTTGCTGCTCGTCACAGATCCTGAACTGCCACCAGAGTCGTCCTTAAACGAGGAGCTCGGTCTGAGAGAAGAGGGTGGGCAGGAAAAGAGGCCCCGTCCTACCTCTTCTGTTCCCGCCAAGGCTCTGTCGGAGACCTCCCGGCAGGCGTAGCTCAGCTCCTACTTGCTTTTCTGACTGATCTCATCAGAAAATTGTTGTCACTTTTTTTAAGTGAAGAAATTTAAGCCTAGATATGACATGGTCATATCTGCATTTAAAGAATTTAAAATATACCAGATGAGATAATTGTAGTAAAATTAGAAGTTCCACATGTAAGAACAGAGGACATAACAGTTACCAGGGATCATACCACTCTGGGGCAATAACTCATAACATTGAAAATGTTTGATGTAAAAATACCTTCAGACTTTTGTTACATCTATATTAGTGTATCCCATCTATTTTATATATTCCATTATACATATTTTACATATATATTTTATGCATGTCCATTTTGTCTATTCCATCCAATTCTTTTTACAAAAATGAATCAAACTCTACATATTTTTAAACTTTTTCTCCATGTCAGTGTAACTCTAGTATGTTACCATGAGTAACTTGCAGTGTTGAGATTTGCATCCTGGAAAGATCCTCTGGAATGGACGTGGCCTGGACTGGAGGGCAGCAGTGCTGAGGGACTAGTTAGGAGGCTGGGGAAGCCCTTTCTTCTCCTGAAGCTCTGTGAGCCCCAAGCGCAGGGACTGTGCCCATGAACATGGGACTCAGAAGGCATTTGGGAATAATAATAGCAATGAGAACATCCTGATCCAAGTGGTTTGGCCAGATGGATGAAATGAACAGATGACAGAGAATGGTCCTAACAAGGATTATTGACCTATCTCTGCTGTGGCCATCCCTTCAAGTCTAGTAGGATAATTGCTTCATCAGTGTTAAAGGGAAGTGATTGATGGTCCTGTAATGTATTCAATGGAGAACAGTAGGCGTCAACATCAATTAGCTCAGTGATAAGATCAATATAAAATGGGCGCTCCTGAGACTTGATAATGAAATGATATAATTGAGAAGAATTGGACAATGTTCAAAAGAGGAGGTCTGAGAAACTGCTTTTTGTGTCCCTAACCCTCCCCACTCCTAGTACCACAAAGACTGTCCATTAAGAGAATTGTTGTCATAATGGTGGGTAGATATGCAAGATAGTGGGTTAAAATCTGTTCTAACCTGCTTTGTGTGAGTGCTACAGAAACTAGTCTGTAAGATTACAACTCAATAG